GTTGTAATGGCTTGAATGTACAGAAACTCACCCGAACATGTGAGACGCGGTAGCTGACAGTTTTTGCCGGCGGTGAGGGAGACGGCGACGATGTAAATCCCCGGGCGCTGGAAACTGCAAAATTAAATGAGGGGAAAATTAGATAAGAGTCCAATGAGAGTGTGACGAGAATGGAAATCGCCGGGGCTCACTAGTCAGGGGAATCGGCGGCGTGGCGGGGGACTCGACCCCGACCTCGCCTCCGGGGCATCCACTCGAGCGAGCGCCGGTGCGGCGAGGGCGGACGGGGCGGGGGCACTCGAGCGCGCGCTGGACGGAGTAGGACTGCGGCAGGGCTGGGCGAGGCGGCGCATAGGAAGCCGCGGGATGGACTGTGATATTTGTCACACGTGTGCCACATAGCTAAAACTACCACACACCTCCTCTTTCCTTTTTAATTACATGTATAATTGCATTAGAATGAATCACCTTTCTTTCACGGGCATTCATTACTCTAATTACATGCATGCACCACAAGACAAAAAAGTTGATCTCATCCAAGATTCTTCTTATTCCGAAAATTCAAAATGTTTTGTAGTTCAAACCGTCAGTCCGATGTAAAAAACGTTTTGACATAAAAGACTCGTCACGACGAGATCTTCAAAACTAGATCTCATGTTGGTATATTCCGACGAATTTTTTTCAGATCAAAAGTTACCACGCGTCGGCTACATAAGTTATCACACATGTAGTATGCAACTTACCGTGGTATTTTCACATAAATTACCGGAGGCATAAACATTGTTCTCACACCTTCTCTACATGCATATATATGTATGCATTAGAACACAAAAAAGTCGATGTCATCTTAGATTTTTCTTATTCTCAAAATTTAAAATTTTGTAGCTCAAACCATCGATCTGATGCAAAACCGTTTTCACATAAAAGATTCGTCGCCATGAGATCTTCGGAACTATATCCCATGTTGATACGTATATTCCGACGACTTCTTTTTCTGGGTCAAAAGTTAACATGCCTCGGCTACATAAGTTACCACCCTTGTAGTATGTTATTCACCGTGGTATTTATACATAAGTTAATGGGGTTATATTTTTCAGCAATTTTTCCCCCTTGGTCAAAAGTTACAGCGGTGTTTGTACTTAAGTTATCAGGTATGTAATTCGTGCATTACCGTGCTATTATTACATAAGTTATCAGGGGGAGTGGGTTATGTTTCCAATAACTTTTTCTCTCCTTGGTCAAAGTTACCGCGGTATTTGTACGTAAGTTATCAGGTACACAGTTCTTTAATTACCGTGCTATTTTTACATAAGTTATCGGGGATGTTTTTAGCAATCCCACCCCCTTTGGTCAAAGTTACATGATGTTTATAAGTAACTTATCGGGCATGTGGTTCATATATTACCGTGCTATTTTCACTTAAGTTATCAATGATGTTTTTTAATAATTTCCCATCCTTGGTTAAAGTTACCGTGGTGTTTGTAAGTAGGTTATCGGATAGGTGGTTCGTATATTACCATGGTATTTTTATACAAGTTACCGAGTATGTTTTTCAACAATGTTTTTCTTTCTTTGGTAAAAGTTACTGCGTTGTTTGTATGTAATTTATCGGGTATGTTTTTCATATATTACCATATTATTTTCACGTAATTTATCAGGGTATGTTTTCAAGAACATTTTCCTAGGGTCCAAAATTAGCGTGATATTTGTATATGAGTTATCAGCTCTTTTGTGCGTATATTACCATGATATTTACACATCAATTACCGGGTATATTTTCCAACACTTTTTTCCCTGGGTAAAAGTTACCGCGATGTTTGTATCTAAGTGTGTGTTTGATTTGGGAAAGAACAGATAAAATATACTGGATTTAGTTCTTCACCTCTTGCGAGACTATTTTCAACAACCATGATTTATCATCAACATATAACCCCCTATTTATGAGCAAAATTTCAACCAAAGAAAAGATGAGTACTCTATTCACCTCAAGAGAGAACAAAATTGATGCTAGATCTGCTGCTGCTGCTTCAAAATTGATGCTAGCATCATTCTATTTTCATCAACAGGAGGCTCTTTCCTTCAAGCTACTACTGGCACTTGTAAAAAGCATCATCATTATTAGAAGTAGTCGCATGAGCCAGAGCTCAATGGATCAAACAACTGCTGATCTTGGTCCATGTCCGCAACACAGAGACGTGCACTCTTGCAGTTAAATGGATCAATCAAACAACAAGTATGAAAAACTGCTGCTTGCTGAATGGATCTTGGTCCGTGGCCGCAACAGCTCGTCACGCGTGGACGCCGCAGCACTAGCAGCAACAACGTCGGCCGCCGTCGTTGGCCTCTCCGGCTACTGGGTGAGCACCGGACGCCGCTGCCCCTCGTCTTCCCGGTTGTGAGCCGCGCACCCGTTACAGCAACTCGTTAGGCTATCTGCCACCGCTTGTCGCGTGTGGCCGCCGCAGCAGCAGCACCCGTGCCGGCAGTCGTCGCCCACCCGCCTTCCCGGCAATGAGATGCGCACTCGCCGCCTTGCTTCTAGCCCTGCTTCAAGGGAGAGCACCGCTGCCCGCCCCACCATGGCCCTCCTCCGCCTTCCCATCACGACCGCCTAAGAAGGAAGTTCGCTGAGATGGGGAAGCACGCAAGCGCGGCGGCCGGGACTCGCGCTGACAACGGTGGCAGCGCTCGGCGGAGTGGATCAGCAGGGACAAAGGGCTGGCAAGCGTGTCGAGCTTGGGGGCATGGACTGGCATGGGCGGCGGCGTGGCCGGCGACCATGAGATTCTGCGCAGGGTAGCAACGCGACAGATAGGTGGGGATCGTGGGTGCCTGGGTGGGTGGGTTTGACGAAGGGATCGGTTGATGAGATCGTGTGGCAGTTTTGCAATCTGCCACATGGTTGCCACATACATATTTCGTAATGGGAAACAGCAGAAACACAGCCATGCTGAAGGCAATTAGTAAGGGCAATTAATTAACTATTTGATGGGCAAAGGGAGGCCAAGATGTTTGCAAGGAAGCTCTTTCACCTCACAAGGCAAATGCTCCTGGAGAAGAACAGCCAATTCGTCGACAGAACATTGGATTGGTACATCACTGCTCTTCTGAATATTCGCCTCAAGACCAGATGCAGCCCCAAACAGATGTAAAATATCCTTGGTCAGCTCCAAATCTGAAGCCCGACGTTCCGCAGTCATCAGCATCTTCCAACGGTCCGCCCCCATTTGATTTTGCACCGGATAGAATGTTTGTCATGGTGTTCCATTGTCTCTACTCGTTTCTCTTCTGCCCCTGTGGCATTTTGGCATGCCTAAAATCTCTTTGTGTTTGCTATACTTTCGGCTCCAGCGGCCTGTATCTGCTATCTCTACTCCTTCATGAGCGGCACGGCTCCGGCCACACAAGCTGAGCAGGTGACCCATCCTCCCGTCTCCTTATCTTCTCTTCTCGAGGATTTGTCAAGTTGTGAAATTCCTGGTCCAGATTCAAACCACAGCTCAGGAACACACACAAAAAAAACAAGTTCATTTGTACTGGTCTTACTGAGATATAACCATTAAAAAAAGGGCCAATCTAACGAGCCACAATTCACAGCCTAGTTTGAAATAACTACTATTTGACTTAGTGGTTTTTAAAAAGAAAATGTCTTGGGCTACAGTTTAAAATGGAGAAAAATATATACTGTGTTCACATTTACGGGGAAAAGAAAACATAACTTTTAGTATGTAATTTCAAGGTCAGGTGCGACGGTTGCACCACATGGGTGACGGCACAAGACACATTCTCAGAACACAGAAGCGAAAAAAAAACATGGATTTTTAATGTCATTATTCCCACAGCATTGAAAGGATATTTAGTTGCTCATAAAAAAAAATTAGGAATGTTTCCAAGAGGTTGCAGCCAATGAACAAAAAAATGTAATATTGTGCAAATGTATCCATACTAAATTAATTCAATAGACTGCAATCCTACAAATCAAAAAGTTCATGTAGAAAAAAATACTAGATTTCTTTGGACGGAGAGACGCTACTGACGATGTGTACAAGGCTTTCTTTTTAGATCATCAGGGTCGAGCTGCAGCCAATACAGGAAAGGAAACAACTGGAGTTAGTGAGATTACATAGTGACAGAAGTAAAAGCAATCAGATCAGAGTTGTAGTGTCGTCACAAGTACTAGATTATTTGTTGTAACTAAAGATGCCATGGCTGCTGCCCTCTTAAATACATGAAAGAATACAAACAGTTGTGGCCAAAACAAAACTTTACAGCAAAGTGTATAATAGAACCAAAAACTTAATATGATTTGTATTAATTGAGGTTTATTTTCTTAAAAATATGGCACCTTCAGATCAAGCTAGCGCCTGAAGTGTCTGCATACTTGTCATGTTGTGATAGCGAATACTTTGATCATGCCCACACATGTCTCTTTCCTCTCCACTCTCCAGTCTCCACCACGCAAACCCAGTCCAAAGCAAGTTTTTCACTGCTGTCAAAGCAAAAAAGGAGTCCAGAATAAGACTGCTGATACTATTCAGTTTTCCACCGGTTTGTATGGTTATCATGAACTCTTGACTTTTGGCTCCACCGTGCCTTTTACGGCTATGACCAGACAATTGAGGGTTGAGCACTTATATCTGCAGTATCTGCATCTTCAGGTTTGCCATCCTCTTCATTTCATCATGCATCTCCTCATAGATTTCATCTTGCTCCTCTTCCTGTGCACCCAAGCAAATTCTGCCGCGACAGACACCATCTTGGCCGGCCAAGCACTTACTGTCAACGACAAGCTCGTCTCCGAAAATGGCAGGTACGCGCTTGGCTTCTTCAACACAAGCAGCAGCAAACCCTCCCAAGACACAACCAACTGGTACCTTGGCATATGGTTCAAAACAGTCCCCAAATTTACTTCTGCATGGGTTGCAAATAGGGATACACCAATCAAGAGCACCACCTCACTAGAGCTCACAATCTCCCAGGATGGCAACCTTGTCATCTTGAACCGGTCCACCAAGTCCATAATCTGGAGTACTCAAGCAAACATCACAAGAAATAGCACCACTGCTATGCTCTTGAGTAGTGGAAATCTCGTCCTAACAGACTTTTCAAACTCATCAGAAGTTCTGTGGCAGAGCTTTGATCATCCCACAGATACACTTTTCCCTGGGGCGAAGTTAGGATGGGACAAGGTCACTGGCCTGAATCGCCGCCTTGTTCCTTGGAAGAACTTGAACAATCCAGCTACCGGTGTCTATTGTTATGCGTTAGACCCCAGTGGTCTCAAACAGTTCATGCTTACACCATTGAACTCCTCCATACAATATTGGTCGACAGGTGTATGGAACGGCGAATATTTTCCCTCAATACCAGAGATGAAAGTCAGCAACCCAGTTTTCAACACAACATTTGTCATCAATGACCAAGAGAGGTATTTGACAGTTAACTTAGTCAATAAATCTATGGTTACTCGTAATGTAATGGACGTCTCAGGTCAAAGAAAAGCGTTCATTTGGCTGGAGGACTCACAGGATTGGACAATGATCTATGCCCAACCGAAACTTCAGTGTGATGTCTTTGCAATCTGTGGATCTTTCACAATTTGCAATGATAATGCGCTTCCACATTGCAACTGCATGGAGGGCTTCACCATAACATCCCCAAAGGATTGGGAGCTAGAAGATCGAACAGGTGGGTGCTCAAGAAATACTCCGTTAGACTGCATTAGCAACAAAAGCACAACTCATACAACAGACAAGTTCTACTCTGTGTCGTGTGTTGAGTTTCCGGAGAATGCCCCAAAACTAGAAGCTGCTGCAAGCGCGGGCGAGTGTGCACAAGTTTGTCTGAGTGATTGCTCTTGCGCCGCATATTCCTTCAACGATGGAAGATGTTCTATCTGGCATAATGAATTGCTCAATATAAGAGCGCTAGAATGCAGTGGTACTTCAAGTTCAACTGGAGAAACTCTTTACCTGCGTGTTTCTGCCAAAGATTTCCATGGAGTGAAAAACAACAGAAAGGGGATTGTTATTGGAGTTGCAACTGGTACATGTGTTTCTGCTCTAGTTTTATTTGCACTTGTTGTCCTGGTAATGATTTGGAGAAACAAAAGCACGAGCTCTAGCCATATACTCAATGGTGTTCAAGGTTGCAATAGAATCATTGCATTTAGATACACTGATTTACAACATGCCACAACAAAATTCACAGATAAGTTGGGGGCAGGCAGTTTTGGTTCTGTATTCAAGGGTTATTTAAATGACTCGGTAGCTATAGCAGTGAAAAGGCTTGACGGTGCTTATCAAGGAGAGAAGCAATTCAGAGCTGAAGTGAGCTCAATTGGAACTGTCCAACACATCAATTTAGTTAAGCTTGTCGGTTTTTGTTGTGAGGGTTCCAAGAGGTTGCTTGTTTATGAACACATGTCAAATCGCTCTCTTGATGTCAATCTATTTCGAAACAATTCAACGATATTGAGTTGGACTATTAGATATCAGATAGCCCTGGGGTTGCTAGAGGGTTAGCTTATTTGCATGAGAGCTGTCGAGACTGCATCATACACTGTGATATTAAGCCAGAAAACATACTTCTTGATGATTCACTAATTCCCAAAGTTGCAGACTTTGGGATGGCAAAGCTTTTGGGAAGGGAATTTAGCCGAGTACTGACTACAACGAGAGGAACTTCCGGGTACCTTGCACCTGAATGGATTAGTGGCATTGCCATTACACCAAAAGTTGATGTGTATAGCTACGGGATGATGTTGCTGGAAATAATATCTGGAAAGAGAAACTCATGGGCACCATGTACTAGCAGTGGCAACCTTGGCGTGTATTTCCCTGTGCATGCCGCACAAAAGCTTCTTGAAGGAGATGTCGGGAGTTTGGTAGATCACAAGCTACATGGTGATGTCAATTTGGATGAAGTTGAACTGGCTTGCAAGGTTGCATGTTGGTGCATCCAAGATGAGGAGCTTGATCGGCCAACAATGGAACGGGTGCTTCAGATTCTTGAAGGACTAGTTAAGATTACGATGCCTCCTATACCAAGACTGCTCCAAGCTATAGCTTGAATCTCATTCAACATGATCCTAATCCTTTTGTATAAGGAAAACTAGATGAGTTGCACCTGGAGATGTTATAATTAACACAGATGTGCATATTTAAAAGAGATTCAGATGTTATATAATACAGATATATGTACTATACAAATGTAGTGCTTGTGATTGCAGATGCGGTTGTATTCCATATATTGAAGTTGTAGTTGTTTGAATGTACTCAGTATTGTCGTACTTTAACTGTCTGGATCGATATCGAAATAGGCGCCATAGGGAAACTAGATGGATTTCATGTTCTATGATTGGAGATGCATTGTATTCCATGTAATAAAGTTGTAATAATGGTTTGAATGTACTCAGTGTCGTCGTTGTCTCGATCCATGCTGTAATTGGCACCCCAGATATTTCTTTTCCTTCACATTTTCTCCGCTTACAACGGTAACACCAAATCTAGTAGTTTCACCCTTGCTCGGTGATAGCAAGCAAGACTGCAGCAGAGGTTGCAGAGAAAACTCACCTGAGCACGCGAGACGCGGTAGCAGACAACTTTTGCCGGCGGTGGGGAAGACGGCGACCATCTCAATCTCCGGCGCGGGAAGCTGCACAATTAAATGAGGGGGAAATTAGATAGAGTCCAATGGCGCACTATGAGACCGGTCTGGAAGATCTGCGGCGGGGGACTCGATCCCAACCTCACCTCCGGGGCATCCGAGAGGTTCATGGGCAAACTCGCTGGGGGTTGCCCGGCATATGCTTTTGTAGAGGGAGGTGGTCACGGGCAAGGCAAGTCGGCGGGTGCTCGATTCGAGCGGGCGCCGGCGCGGCGAGGGCGGACGAGGTGGAGGCGGAGGCCCTCGAGCACGCGCTGGACGCGCTAGGCCGACGCGACGCGGGCCGGAGTAAGACCGCGGCAGGTCTTGGCGACGCGACGCTACGCATAAGAAGCCGCGGGATCTCATTGCGCGGTGACGCTGGTGGTTACGGCGGCGCTGATTCGGTGGGGCGGCGGGGGAGCCCGGAGGTCAGGGGAAGGCCTGACAAGCGGGACCCGGTGGGCGGGGGCATCTTCGAACGGCATTTTGTTTCAACGGGAAACAGTCAAACAGCAGTATCACAGTCAGGCTGAAGGCAATTAAAGGAAACCTTTTTCTTTTACACCATTAGAGCATTTCTAGCAATTGTTTTTAGTCAGTATATATACTTGGTGTCAGGTTTATCCAACCTGACCCTCTGGTGTAAAAAACCGTGTATGGACTGCTGACCATTTGGCCAACAGAAGGAGCCTTCTCAGCGTCTGCTATTTTCTATTTTTATGAGCAAAGGGGAAAAACATAGGTCTTTAGTATCATGTCACTCTATAAAATTCCACGATACTGAGATGATATTCGATTGCTCAAATAAAAAGCATATGAATACTCTGTAAAGGTTACAGTCAATGCACAAAGTAATAGTGTAAACTACTCAAGCATAGGAGCATTGTGCAAATGGATCCATACAGAAAAAGTAATTCTATAGACTGTGAGCCTACAAAATAAAAATGTTCATGTAGAACAAATTACTCCCTCCTATCCAAATTAATTGATGTAACCTCTATACAATGTCTTACTTAAATTGTATAGAGGCTGCGTCAAAGTAATCCGGATCGGAGGGAGTACTAGATTTCTTTGGACCGAGACACGCGGCTGAAAATAGGTACAAGGTTCGCTTCTCATGATCATCAAGGTTGGGCTGTAGCCAGAGGCCAAGAAACAAAGGAGACAACAGTAGTTTAGCTAGATTACGACGTAGTGAAGCGCATACAAATGTAAAAGCAATCAGAGATGCTACAGCGTTGTAGCATCGTCAGAAGTACACGATTATTTCTTGTAACACTAGCAGTTGTGATAAAAAGAACATTTTGACAGCAAAGTGTACGCTCCGAAAACCTAACATCATTTGTATCAACTGATGTCTGCTTGGTTAAATACATGTCAACTTCAGATCAGAGCTAGTGCCAGAAGTGTTTGCATACTTGTTGAGCTGTGATGGCAATTGGCAAACACGGCGTGGGGTGGTAACCAAATGCCTGATCTCAATCATGCCCACGCGCTTTTCCTCTTCACGCAGACCTAGTCCAAATTCCAGAACAAGCTTTTCACTGCAATCAAGAATAAAAGGACAGCAGTCAACAACAAAGACCGGGCTATTGAAAATCCCACAGTGTTGAAAAGATACTTGATTGCTGAAATAAAAAGCATAGGAATGTTTCAAAGAAGCGAAGAGGTTACAGTCAATGCACAAAGCAATAATCTAAACTGGTGCAAATGGATTCATACGAGGAAAAATTCTACACACTCCAAGCCTACAAAACAAAAAAGTTAATGTAGAAAAAACTACTAGATTTGTTACGACGGAGAGACACTACTTACAATCGGTACAAGGCTTTCTTTTTAGATCATCAGGGTCAAGCTGTAGCCAATACAGGAAAAGAAACAACAGAAGTTAGTGAGATTACATAGTGATGTGCATATTACAGAAGTAAACGCAATAAAATCAGCTAGAGTTGTAGCGTCGTGGCTGTTGCCCTCTTAAATACACGAAAGAATACTAACATTTCTGGTCAAAAGAACACTTTACAGCAAAGTGTATAATACTAACAAAAACTTAACATGATTTGTACTAACTCACGTTTGCTTAAAAATAAGATCAAGCTAGTGCCTGAAGTGTTTGCATACTTGTCAAGTTGTGATGGCAAACAGTGTGGGCCGGTAATCAAATGCCTGATCTCATGCCACTGACCATGAAAATCTGCTAATGAGGCTTAAAATTTTGTTAAGAGTAAGAGACTAATAATAGTGCGGCTGCTCATGGTTATTTTGGCCGATTAATCTTAAAAGATGCTAGTTTCAATAACTCATGTTCTTTACACTTCTTGGTGCTTGGCCCTTTCATCTCCACTCACCATTCTCTAACACGGCACAACCCAAACCCAGTTCAGATTCAAGGTTTTTCTGCTGTCAAGATAAAATAACATTCCACTACATCATTATCCTGTCGCAGTTGAAAAATACACCACTGCAATAAGTATTCTTTCCACTAATGCTTGACTCTTGACTCCACTGAGCCTTTTACTGCCAGGACAAGACCATTGAGCACCCATCTTATAATTACAGTATCTGCATCTGCAAGCTCCCATCCTCTTCAGTTCATCATGCATCTCCTCGTATATCTCGCCTTGCTCCTCTTCCTACGCATCCAAGCAAGTTCTGCTGCTACGGACACCATCTTGGCCGGCCAAGCACTTGTTGTCAATGACAAGCTCGTCTCCAAGAATAGCAGGTACGTGCTTGGCTTCTTCCAAACAAGTAGCAGCAAATCCTCCCAAGACACCACCAACTGATACCTTGGCATATGGTTCAATACAGTCCCCAAGGTAACCTCTGCATGGGTTGCAAATAGAGATAAACCAATCAAGAACATTGCCTCAATGGAGCTCACAATTTCCCATGATGGCAACCTTGTCATCTTGAACCAGTCCACCAAGTCCATAATCTGGTCTACAAAAGTAAACATCACGAGAAATAGCACCACAACAGTGCTGTCAAGTAGTGGAAATCTCATCCTGACAAACTCTTTAAATTTTGTGAATGAAAAATCAAATCCGTGAAGTTTTTTTGAATTCATCAACTTTTTTTAATCAAAATAGATGATTTTTTCAATGTTCAAGAAATCGTTAACTGGTAGCTGCTCGGTCAGTTTAGGAGTAGGGATTAATCGTTGAATCGGCCTATTAACTGGATTAATCGGTCGACCATTAATCGGTCGATTGAATAGAAACTTGCCAACATATATCTAGATTTTTAATGTATTATACCATACTCCAATGCTCCCATCTATGTAGTATACCAAAATATGTTGCCATACACATATGAAAAGCATAGAGAGGAGGTAAAATTATTAATCCTATCTATTAAGGAGCGGCATGGGGCCGGAAAGGGGTTATGGGCCAAAATTTTGGGCTTTGTTTGCCTACCCGTTAATGGGCCAGCAGGGATTAATCGGCATGACAATTGATTAATCGGTCTAACTGGCCAATTGAAAGATCGTGGATGTCGCCTAAAGGGGGGGGGGGTGAATAGGCGTTTTAAAAGAATTACGGTTTAGGCTTGAACAAATGCGGAATAAACCTAGCGGTTAATTTGTCAAGCACAAAACCTACAACAACTAGGCTCACCTATGTGCACCAACAACTTATGCTAAGCAAGATAACTTACTAGGTGATAGCAAGATATATGACAAGAAACAATATGGCTATCATAAAGTAAAGTGCATGAGTAAAGAGATCGGGTAAGAGATAACCGAGGCACGCAGAGACGACGATGTATCCCGAAGTTCATACCCTTGCGGATGCTAATCTCCGTTTGGAGCGGTGTGGAGGCACAATGCTCCCCAAGAAGCCACTAGGGCCACCGTAATCTCCTCACGCCCTCGCACAATGCAAGATGCCGTGATTCCACTAAGGGACCTCTGAGGACGGTCACCGAACCCGTACAAATGGCAACCCTTGGGGGCAGTCACCGAACCCGTACACTTTGGCAACCCTTGGGGGCGGTCACCGGTACCCGTCAAATTGCTCGGGGCGATCTCCACAACCTAATTGGAGACCCTGACGCTTGCCCGGAGATTTACACCATAATGATTGAGCTCCGAACAACACCATCCGTCTAGGGCACCAAGGCACCCAAGAGGAACAAGCTCTAGGGTGCCCAAACACCCAAGAGTAATAAACTTATCAAACTTCACTTCCACGTATCACCGTGGAGAACTCAAAACGATGCACCAAATGCAATGACAAGGGCACACAGAGTGCCCAAGTCCTTCTCTCCCAAATCCCACCAAAGCAACTAATGCTAGGGAGGGAAATGAGAGGAAGAACGAAATAAGAACACGAAGAACTCCAAGATCTAGACCCAAGGGGTTCCCCTCACTTAGAGGAGAAAGTGATTGGTGGAAACGTGGATCTAGATCTCCTCTCT